CCCCCAAAACCCCAAAACCCCAAAACCCCTTAAAAATCCTGGAACTGAAATCACACTATTCGCTATCTTTTCACAACTTTCACATTAAAAACACCCTGCGGATACCTCTCCCCTGCAATTCCCTCTTCAGACTCTACTGTGCATAACTTCGGAGTCTTCTCATTCAACACGATGGTTCTCTTCTCTTGCTTATTCTCCCCGCATGCTACATTCCTGGTCTTCTGTCTTCTCTGTACCTTCTGCTGATTAGAGCTAAAAAGTTTGGAAATTTTCTGAATTTTTGGCTTTATATGTGCCCCTTGAGGCTTATTTCTATAGGAAAATTGGATTAAATTTGGAATAAGAGGAGATGGTTAAGAATGTTTGGGCATGAAATGATAGATTTGTGGTCTGGTTGGTATGATCAAAACCCTACTTTTTATTACCAATCACTCAGAAATTGGTCTTCTGGGTCTCCCTACTTTGAAGAAGCTTTAAATTGAGAATAAAACTATTCGCTTTAGTGTCTAAAGGAATTTTGATGCTAAAATCAGATTCTAGAGAGTCATTTCTAACAATTTTAGAGCTTCCTTGAACATTTTGGGTAGATTTCGGAATAATATTATGTCACCCAGGATCATGAGTATGACTGTTGATATCGAGCCTCCCATCCTGAAGAGGATGATCACGATCCATACTTTTTGATAAAGCAGGAGTGAAAGAGGTATCATTCTTCAAGCCGCTTGAAACTCCTTCCGAATACACTTTATGCACTGATCTTTGATGATTCTTAGGCAAAGATTTGCTCTCAAATGTTGAATCCTTGAACCTCCCTTGAGAGGACTTAGTGTTTGTTTTCTTATTATGCTTGCTATAAACAGATTTCAATGGTTCATTTTGCTTGATCTATACTAAGCAATAGACATACTTTTGATTTATTTAATAATCTCTCGAGCTATACTTCCAACTGATTTTTCATCAAGCCTATTCATCTTGAATAGGCTACTTGGAGTCTGAGTATCCACACTAACATTCTTTTTCGCAGTGGGAAGTTTCGAAGAAGCCATACTCTTCTCCTCAGATTTCTTGCCAGACCCAGGAAGAAGGTTACATATTTTAGCAAATTTCCCTAAAGTTTTACCAAGATTATGTGTGTTGCTTAAGAATTTGTTTCTGATTGGTTTGGAATGTTCATTGCCTTGTTCTCTTTGATCATCAACCTTAGAATCAGAGTAAATTATATCTCCTTTATGACGGAAGGCAACGGTTTTCCTGCTTTTAAGATAACACTTTTTACGGGGAGAGCTCCTACTTTGCTTTCCAGGTGCATCAAAAAGATTCTTACATTGATATTTCTCAACCTGTGTTCGAGTTTGTGAGGTAGTCTCATAATCTTTGAATCGTAAAGGAGTAGATTTCTCTCGTGGCCTATTATTCTGTCCTTCTGAGAACCTTCTCTGAGCCTCAGGAGTTTGTTTTAGCCCAGTTGTAAAGAACACTGATGCTTTTGGTCGTAATTCTAGTTTATCTATTATCAAATTATGAACAAACTATTATGAGGAATTACCATTCCTGCCCCAATTATTCTGGTAGGCAAAACTAAATTGTCTTGGCTTATCTTTAGAATTAGCTTTTCAGTAGCTATTTCTCTTATTTCTCAATATTTTTAGTGATTCTGTATGGATCAATTAGGAAAATTCATACATTTTGCTGATTATCTGCTGCAACCCATCGATATTTCACCTGTCCATTGTCATATTTTGAGAATTCTGGTATGGCTGATCACTGAAAAATTAGAAAATCTTACAAGACAATATCACTGTTTGGAAAATTCACCAACTCAGGGAAACTTTCCTTTACTCTTCTTCCTTTAGTTGTTTGAGAATTATTATTTTTGTTTTATTTTTCACAGCAGACCAGACCGAGAATTCATGTCCTTAGAAAATTTAGTCGGTATCTCTACTGTTCCTTCATGAGTTCCATTTTGGGTCTTTACCATAAAAGGACTACTTTTTCGGGGTATTTGTTTAGTCTCAGTCTAAATTATTGCTCAAAACAATTAGTTATTTCACAGAAATTAGGTAATATTTTACCTTCTGGTCAACAATTCTATTAATCCTGCTTTTATTAGTCATCTGCGTGAATTCATGATGATGCATGATGTCGAATGTAGTCCCTATCCCGAAATCTGGCTTTGATTTGTTGGGAAACTTCAAGACTTGACTATTACATCTCCTTTCCATGATTATAACAAAATTCTATAAATCTTTAGTTTTTAGGGGTTTTGGGGTTTTGGGGTTTTGGGG